CATGCCTGAGGTCCTGGGTTCGATTCCTCAGCACCACATAAGCAAAAAGAAAAAAGCTGGAAGTGGTGCTGTGGCTCAAGTGGTAGAGCACTAGCCTTGAACTGAAGAGTTGAGGGACAGTGCCCAGGCCCAGAGTTCAGGCCCCAGGACCAGATCCCCTCCTCCCCCCCCAAAAAAAGAGTCTCACAGATTTTCCTGCCGGGGCTGGCTTTGAACCGAGATCCTCAGTTCTTAGCCTCCTAGCTAGGATTACAGGCCTGAGCCACCAGCGCCCGGCTGTGGTATGCATCTTCTATGGAATATTACACAGCTATAAAGAAACTGGCTAGTGCTTTGGTTCTGTTGATTGTACAGAAACTCTTCAATTGGATGTAGTCCCAATTGTCAACACTTCCTCCCATCCCTGGGGTCACTGGCGTCCTAGTCAGAAATCTGTAGCAGTGCCCCCATAACTTCCAGCGCCTTTCCTAACTTTCAGGTATTATTTCAAACTCTTTGAGCCACTGGCAGGTGGTTATTATACAGTATGAGAGTAGAGGCCTCGTTTTAGTCTCCTGAGAGTCTTGCAGGAGGTTCAGCACCATTTGTTGAAGAGGACATCTTTTCTCCAGTGTTTTCCTTTTTTTCTCCTTTGAAAAAATTAGTTGGGTGAGGGAAAGGGTGACATCCCAAAGGAAAGGTACTCAGTCAAACGCCAGTGGCTCATACCTGTAATCCTAGTTACTCAGGAGGCTGAGATCTGAGGATCACTGTTCAAAGCCAGCCTAGGCAAGAAAGTTGGGGAGACTCTTATCTCCAATATACCACTAGAAAACCGGAAGTGGTGCTGTGGCTCAAGTGGTAGAGTGCTAGCCTTGAGCTGAAGAGCTGAGGGACAGCCCAGGCCCAGAGTTCAAGCCCTACAACTGACAAAAAAAAAAAAAAGAGAGAAAGAAAGAATGAGAAAAAGAACAAGAGAAAGAACGAAAGAATGAAAGAACGGAAGGAAGGAAGGAAGGAAGGGAGGAAGGAAGGAAGGAAGGAAGGAAGGGAGGGAGGGAGGGAGGGAGGAAGGAAGGAGGGAGGGAGGAGGAAGGGAGGAAGGAGGGAAGAAAGGAAGAAAGGAAGGAGGGAGGGAGGAGGAAGGGGAGGAAGGGAGGAAGGGGAGAAAGGAAGGAGGGAAGGAAGGAAGGAATTCAGGCTGGGCACTGGTGGCTCATGCCTGTAATCCTAGCTACTCAAGAGGCTGAGATCTGAAGATCTTGGTTCAAAGCCAGCCTGGAAAAGTCCATGAGACTCTGTTGTTGTTGTTGTTGGGCTTATACTCTGGGTCTGGACGCTGTCCCTCAGCAATTCAGCTTAAGTGCTCTACCACTTGAGCCACAGCACCACTTCTGGTTTTCTGAGTGGTTTATTGGAGATAAGAGTCTCACAGACTTTCCTGCCCAAACTGGCTTTAAACTGTGATCCTCAGATCTCAGCCTCCTGAATGCCAAGGATTACAGGTGTGAGCCACCGGCACCCAGCTTCCATTAGACTCTTATCTCCAATTAACCACCAGAAAACCAAAGTAGCACTGTGGCTCAAGTTCAAGCCCCACCACCGACAAAAAAAAATAAGTAATCTTTACCTGTCTTATATAACTGTAACCCCTCTGTACATCACCTTTACAATAACAATAAAGCAGTATAAAATCTTATTTAGCTGTGGCGGTGTGGTTTTCTTCCTAAGTCTTCTGTACTGTTCCAATGATCTTCCAACCTGTTTCTGTGTCAGGACTGGGCTGTCCTTGTTCTGTGGCTCTGTAGTACTATTTGAAGGCTGGTGATGTGATATCTCCTCTTTTCACACAGAATAATTTTAGCAATTTGGGGGATCTCATGCCCCTCTCTATGAAGTTTTGGATTGTTTTTTTCATATTCTGTGAGGAATATTACTGGGAATTTGATGGCCTGAGCCACTCATGTCTGGCAAGCTGCTGGGTTTTGAACATTGTTTTTATATTCTGCTACTTTTCTGAAGACATTCATCAGTTCTAGAAGGATCTCTTGGTGGAGGCTGTAGGGTGTGTTAAATATAGGATATCATCAGCAAATGGGTGTAGTTTGACATCTCTATTTGAATCCCTTTTAATTCCTTCTCCTGCCTTATTGCTCTAATTACGAATTCTTTTTTTTCTATGTCTTTTATTTTTTTATTGTGAAAATACTGTACAGAGGGGTTACAATAACATGGGCAAGATAATGAGTACATTTCTTATCAAGCATTGTAGCCTCCTCCTTTTTTTTTTTTTTTTTTTGGGTCCAGTCATGGGACCTAAACTCTGGGCCTGGGCGCTGTCCCTCAGCTCTTCAGCTCAAGGCTAGCGCTCTACCACTTGAGCCATAGCACCACTTCTGGCTTTTTTCTTTTTGGTTATGTGGTGCTGAGGAATCGAACCCAGGGCCTCAGGCATGCAAGGCAAGCGCTCTACCACTGAGCCACCTTCCCAACCCCTGTAGCCTCCTCCTTTGTTTCCACTTCCCATCCCTTCCCATCTCCCCCGCCCCCAATTATAAATTCTTGTACCAAGGAGAGTGGACAGCATTGTCCTCTTCTTGACTTTGGGGGAAGTGATTTCAGATTTTTCTCCCCATTTAATATGAATGAGGTTTGGTATAAGTATGTCATTATATACTTTATTAAATCCAGGTATGTTCCTTCTGTTCCTAGTTTTTTTCTGAGGATGTTGAATTTTGAATAAAGCTTTTTCTGCATTGATTGAAATGATCATGTGATTTTTCTGTTCTTGTGTTGATTTACACATTCTGAACCATACTTTTTTTTTCTTTTTCTTTTCCTTTTTTTTTTTTTTTTTGATCGGTTTGGGGGCTTGAACTCTGGGCCTGGGTGCTGTCCCTCAGCTCTTCAGCTCAAGGCTAGCACTCTACCACTTGAGCCATGCTGCTACTTCCGGTTTTCTGACTGGTTTATTGGAGATAGGAGTCTCATGGACTTTCGTGCCAGGTCTGGCTTTGATCCTCAGATCTCAGCCTCCTGAGTAGCTAGGATCACAGGTGTGAGCCACCGATGCCCAGCTTCTGAACCACTCGTACACCCCAGAAATGAAGCCAAGTGTATCACTGCATATGATCTTTGTGTTAAATTCCTCTTGCAAGGATTTTATTGCAAATTTTTGCATCAATATTCATTGAGATTAGCCTCTTTTTATTGTTGTTGTCTCAATATAGTTTTAAAATAAATGTAATACTTGCTTCATAAAATGAGTTCAGTAGTGTTTCTTTCCTTTCTATTTCAGGGAAGAGTTTGAGGAGTGTTGGTGTTTAAAAGGACTGGTAGAATTTGTCCATGTATCCATCTAGTCCTGGGCTTTTCTCTGTTGGGAGATACTTTAATCTCATTGCTTATTATAGATCCGCTTAAGTGGCTTATAATCTCTGGTGGGTCCAGTACATGTCATTTTCTTCTAGAGTGTTTTTTGTTGTTGTCTTTTGGTCAGTCATGGGGCTTGAACTCTGGGCCTGGGCATTGTCCTTCAGCTCTTCAGCTTAAAGCTAGAGCTCTACCACTTGAAGCACAGCGCCATTTCCGATTTTCTGGTGGTTTATTGTAGATAAGAGTCTCACAGACTTTCCTGCCTGGGCTGGATTTGAACTGCGATCCTCAGATCTCGGCCTCCTGAGAAGCTAGGATTACAGGCATAAGTCACCAATGCCTAGCATAGAGCATTTTTTGTTTTTGTTTTGTTTTTGCTTTTTTGATCAGTTGTGGGGCTTGAACTCAGGGCCTGGGTACTGTCCCTAAGCTCCTTTGCTCAAGGCTAACATTCTACCACTTTGAGCCATAGTGTCACTTCCGGTTTTTTCCTGGTACTTACTTGGAGAGAAGAGTCTCACAGACTTTCTTGTCCAGACTGGCCTCAAACCATGATCCTCATATCTCACCCTCCTGAGTAGCTAGGATTACAGGTGTGAGCCACCAGTGCCTGGCTTCATGGATACTTACATATTACTTTGAATCTCCATTTTATTAATCTTTACTATTTTTCTCTATTACTTTTGAGCTTGACTTGTTTCTATTGTTGTGTTTTTAAAAAAAAGAAGTTTGAAGGCTGGGAAGGTGGCTCAGTGGTAGAGTGCTTGCCATGGGTTCGATCTCTCAGCACCACATAAACAGAAAGAAAATGGAAGTGGTGCTATGGCTCAAGTGGTAGAGCACTAGTTTTTAGCTGAGGAGCTGAGGGACAGCGCCCAGGCCCAGAGTTCAAGCCCTACAACCAAAAAAAAAAAACAAAGAAGAAATTTGAGTTGCATTTATTTAAAAAGCTATTTATCTATATGTAAGGGCTCATGGCTACAAATTTTCCTCCCATCTGTCTTCACTGTGTCCCAGAGATTCTAGTAGGATGACTTTTTATTTTTATTTGATTCCAAGAACTTTTTTTTTTGGGGGGGTCTGGTCGTGGGGCCTGAACTCTGGGCCTGTGTGCTGTCCCTCAGCTCTTCAGCTCAAGGCTAGCGCTCTACCACTTGAGCCACAGCGCCACTTCTGGCTTTTGCTGCTCATGTGGTTCTAAAGAATGGAACCCTGCAAGGCAAGCGCTCTACCACTGAGCCACCTTCCCAGCCCATCCAAGAACTTGTTGACTTCTCCCTTTATCAGTGACCCACATGTCATTCAACAATGCACTGTTGTACATTATCCATGTTTGAGTACTTCCTGTCCCATCTCTTGTTGGCAAACTCTAGTTCCATTATGATCTGATGGGCTACTACATGGAGTTATTTCAATTTTCTTGCATTTGCTCAGATTTGCTGTGTGTCCTAGGATATCATCAGCTTTGGAGAAATTTCCATGGGCTGCTGAAAAAAATGTGTGTTGTGCAGCTAGAGTGGGTAAAATACACTCTGTAGTTTCTGTTAAGTCCATTTGGTTTATAGTTTCATTCAATACTAAGATTCCTTGGGCTGGGATGTAGCTCAGCAGCAAAGCACTTACCTAGCAAGTATTAACGTCCTGGGTTTGATCCCCAGTACCAAAAAAAGAGAAAACATAATTCTAAGGTTTATTTGTTGATTTTTTTTTTTTTTTTGTCGATCATAAGGCCTGAACTCTGGGCCTGGGCGCTAGCCTTGAGCTGAAGCTATCCCTCAGCTCTTCAGCTCAAGGCTAGCGCTCTACCACTTGAGCCACAGTGCCACTTCTGGCTTTTGCTGCTCATGTGGTTCTAAAGAATGGAACCCTGCAAGGCAAGCGCTCTCCCACTGAGCCACCTTCCCAGCCTAGCTTCTGATGAGAGTGGGCTATTGAAGTTCTCACTGTTACTGTTCTGGTTTCTACCATAATCCCTAGACTTCAGAAGGATCTGCATCACAATCCCTGGACTACAGGAGGTCCCTGGGGTACCTTTTGGATAACATTCTCTGTTTGTAGTGGTCTCAGCTTGATGGAAAGCTGGGATACATGCAGATTTCGCTACACTCCTCCTGAGTTCCCTGCATTTAACAGGGACCCAGAAACGTACCTGTACCTTAGGCCTAATATCAGCTGTCACGGTGATGAGAAAGGAGGCCAAGGGGCACCAAGGATGCCCACAGAGCATGGTGGGGCTGTGCACATGTGCAGAAGGTCTCTCTAGTGGGTGTGTCATCCAATCGTGCCTGGGCGCTCAGCTCCCACTCAACAACGGGCAAAGCAGCAGAACCTTGGTAAGATTGTAGAGCCTTCCTTGGTAAGCTTGCTGTCAACCTCAGTGCCTCATCTGTAAGATAGGGAGGATGAACCTTGGGTCCTGCTTGGCAGAGACTTCATGGACATTAGGTAGGATACAGACAGCAGAGTAAGTAAGCTGTGCTGGGCAAGGGTTATGTCAACCAGATATTTTGGGGGCAGTCAAGGGAACAGATGTGGAGAACAAAGAGCTCCAGGACAGGGCATCCATCACGGAGCTGTAGAACCTAAATCCTGGAGCCCCTTCTCATCCTTGGGCTCTGAGGCTGGGCATCTGGCAAGAGCTGCTGGGAGCAGACACTGTCCCTGACCTGCATTATTCCAGGTCCCTCAGGACAAATGGGAGATGGGCATAATGGAAAGAATAGGGTCCATCTATCTGGACTCAAATCCCAGCCTACCACATGCAGCTTCTTAACATTGACTCTGTCCTTCTGGGATATTTTGGCCCAAGCCTGAACTGGCGTGGCGTCATAGACATGTCAGAACAGCCGCAAGCAAGATTCTCACCAGAACTTGCAGGCCTGAGAAGGGAAGGCGGGTGGTTTTTACAGCAGGGTGGGGTGGCTTCCAGCGGAGCCCTAGGACTTAGGCCTTGTGGATCGCCACGTAGGAGTCCAGGCATTCCAGCCATTCCAGGCGGGAGAGTCACCCGGTGTCATAGGCTGAGAAAGAGTCAGTCTTCTGACACAGGTTAGCCAGGGTTATACCTGGTCCCCAGAGGTCTGACCAGTGACGTTATCCAGGCCCTTTCGCCCTAGGACCTTCCTCTTTGGACCTTTGCCTGAATCCTGGGGTGGCAGGCAGCTTGGTTGGTATAGAGGTTCACAAACTTGGAGACAACCCTTATGCCAGAGAATTCTTCAGATTTCTGACGCAGTCTTCTGCTTTGTACTTCTCCCCCTTTCTCTCAGTCCCAGCTCCTTCTCTGACTCAGCCCCGGGAGGATGATACCTCACTTTTTTTGATATGGGGGGCATCTGACAGGCCTGGAGTCCAACACCCTCATCCGATGTCTCCCTCCCTTCTGCTCTCACCCCACACTCCCCACCACTCAGAAGTAACCAGTGGAACTGTTACAAAACAATGGAGTCTCACAGACTTTTCTGCCTGGGTTGGCCTCAAACCAGATCCTTCAGACTCCTGAGTAGCTACTAAGATGATAGATGCGAACTATTAGCATCTGGCTCATATAAACGTTTTTTGTTTTCTTTTCAGAGTTGAGAACCAAATTTAGGGCCTTGCACAGTGCTCTTCCAATTAACTAAATCCCCAACCCCTCCTATAAACTTTTTTAAAGAGATGGATAGTAGACCTACCTTTTTTTTTTTTTTTTTTTGAGTCTTGGGGCTTGAACTCAGGGCCTGAGCCGCTGTCCCTGAGCTTCTTTGGCTCAAGGTTATGCTTTACCACTTGAGCCACACACCACTTCTGGCTTTTTCTGTGTATATGGTTCTGAGGAATCAAACCCAGGGCTTTATGCATTGGAGGAAAGCACTCTACCACTAAGCCACATTCCCAGCCTTAGACCTACTTTTATGTGTAAGTTTTGAATTTGTATTGTTTCATCTCATGTTTAAAACTATTTTTTTTTTACAAATAGTATTGGAATGTTTTGTTCACATTGTTTTAGCATTGCTCCAGTGACTTTATGATTAATTAAAAGTTCTAAACTCAAATGGACCCCAAGATAGGGACACAAGTCCCTATCTTTTTCTTTCTTGCTATTGTTGCTAACGTACTTATAAGGTACCATGTGATTTTTTTGTTGTTGTTGTTTTGTATGTTCCTCCCCCACGGTATAACCCTTGTTTTCACTGTATTTGATGTCGGTATAATTTGAGGAAGAGAAGGGAAAAAACAAAATGTTCAAATAGGGATACAGGTTGATCCATTGTAACAATGAGATGTACAAGACACTATGTTGAAAAACAAACTTTACAATTTAAGTGGGGAGGGAGTGCAGTTGTAGAGGTGGGAGAGAAGAGATCGTAGGGGTAAAACAAAGGAGGAGGCAACAATGCTTGATAAGAAATAGACTCATTACCTTGCTCATACCTCTACAGTATTTTCACAATTAAAAAACTGATTAAAAAAAAGAACAGAAAAATAAATAAATAAAAATTCTAAACTAAAATAAAAAGGTAAAATGACTGTTTAAAGCCTCCCAAGCTGGGTGGGGGTGACATATACCTGAAATCCCAGCTACTTGGGAGGCTGAGACAGGAGTCTGGCTTGAGCCAAGAATTAAGTCCAGCTGGATCAATCTATCCATATCCTGTCTCTTAAAAGAGAGAAAGAGAGCCAGCCAGGGCAGGAAAGTCCATGAAACTTTTTTTTTTTTGGCCAGTCCTGGGGCTTGAACTCAGGATTTGGGCTCTGTCCCTGAGTGTCTTTTGCTTAAGGCTAGCACTCTACCACTTGAGCCATAGCACCACTTCCAGCTTTTTCTGTTTATGTGGAACTGAGGAATTGAACGCAGGGCTTCATGCATGCTAGGCAAGCATTCTACCACACTCCCAGCCCCCATGAAACTTTTATCTCCAATTAACCATTCAAAAAAGCCAGAAGTAGAGCTGTGTCTCAAGTGGTAGTGCGTTAGCCATGAGCAGATAAAGGGACAGACCCAGGCCCTGAGTTCAAATCCTAGGACTAGCACCAAAAGAAGAAAAAAAAAAAAAGGAAGAAGAGGAGAGGAGGAGGAGGAGGAGGAAGAGGAGGAAGTAGAGCTGTGGCTCAAGTGGTAGAGTGCTAACCTTGAGAGAAAAACAAAACTCAGGGACAGTGTGCCCAGGCCCTGACATTGAGCCCTAGGTCCACCACACACACATACACACACACACACACACACACACACACACACGTGCACGTGCGCACAGATAATATTAGCATCTGAATCTCTGGATACAATGAAGTAGATTGTTCTGCCCACTGTGGAACCTAAATAGAATAAAAGGCAGAAAGAAAAATAATTCCTGGGCTGGGAAGGTGGCTCAGTGGTAGAGCGCTTGCCTTGCATGCATGAGGCCCTGGGTTCGATTCCTCAGCACAACATAAGCAAAAAGAAAGTAGCCGGAAGTGGCGCTGTGGCTCAAGTGGTAGAGCACTAGCCTTGAGCTGAAGAGCTTAGAGACAGCACCCAGGCCCAGAGTTCAGGCCCCATGATCAGACCCAAAAAAAAAAGAAAGAAAAATAATTCCCTTTTCTCTTGTTGAATGACCTGGGACACTTCATGTCTTTTTTCTCCAGACTAGCATTTACGCCATTGATCCTCTCAGTTCTTGACCCTCAAAGGACTTGGACTAAACTAATCACTGACTTCTCTATCTCTGGCTAGCAGATGGCAAACCACAAGCTTCTCAGCTCCCATCATTCCCTCATACTGAGGGAGCCATTGCTCATGCCTATAATCCCAGCACTTCAGAGGCTAAGGCAGGAGGATCTCAAGTTCCAGGTTAGCCTGGGCTGCCTAATGGATTTTTGTCTCAAAGAAAAACAAAACAGGCCGAGCACTAGTCGCTCACACCTGTAAATCCTGCCTGCTCAGAAGGCTGAGCTATGAGTATCATGGTTCAAAGCCAGTCCAGGCAGGCAGGAAAGTCAATAAAATTCTTATCTCAAGTAACTATTAAAAAGATAGAGGTGAGCAGGTGCTGGTGGCTCACACCTGTAATCCTAGCTCCTCAGGAGGCTGAGATTGAGAATCAAGATTCAAAGCCAGCCCAGGCAGGAAAGCCCATGAGATTCTTACCTGCAATTAACCACCAGAAAACTAGAAGTAGAGCAACTGTGCCTCAGTGATAGAGCACTATCCTTGAGCAAAAGAGCTCAGGGACATGCCTGGGCCCCAAATTCAAACCCCACAACCGACAAAAAAAAAAAAGCCTGTAGTAGAGCTGTGGCTCAAGTGGTAGAGTTCCATCCTTGAGGGAAATAACTACAGGACAGCACCCAGGCCCTAAATTCAAGCCCCAGTACTGGGGAAAAACAAACAAGAAAAGAAACACAACAAGCAAAGAAAAAGGAAAACTTATTTCTCACATATACATAATATAATGTGTACATACATTTACATATATATACATATACTATATATGAACACATATATTACCTATACATATTTATTACACACCTACCTATGTATCATATTGTGTTATTCTGGGAACACAAATGCTCTGGTCATGTTTGTTTGTTTTTTAGAGCTCTGTTGTATTAGCAATTTACCAGGAACCTGAGCATCAACTGAATTTATCAAATTTTTCCTACATGCTCTGCATAAAGCAGAATTTCATATTCTATATAGAGGTGTAGATGTTTTTCAGTTAGAGGATTTAGGATTCCATCTATTTCCCATCTACTATAGCTTGTTGTTTATTTTTGTTGTTTTGTTTTGTTTTTTGTCAATTGTGGGGTTTGAACTCTGGGCCTGGATATTGTCCCTTCTCAGCTCTTCAGCTCAATGCTAGCACTCTACCACTTAAGCCACAGCACCACTTCCGGTTTTCTGGTGGTTTATTGGAGATAAGAGTCTTACAGACTTTCCTGCTCGGGCTGGCTTTGGACCATGATCCTCAGAGCTCAGCCTCCTAAATAACTAGGATTACACCGACACCCAGTTTGTTTATTATTTCAAAGTGTTTTGTCTTGTTTTTTTGCCAGTCATGGGGCCTGAACTCTGAGCCTGGGTGCTGTCCCTCAGCTCTTCAGCTCAAGGTGAGCGCTCTACCACTTGAGCCACAGCACCACTTCTGGCTTTTTTTGCTTATGTGGTGCTGAGGAAGCGAACCCAGGGCCTCATGCATGCAAGGCAAGCACTCTACCATGGAGCCACTTTCCCAGCCCCAAACCAAGTTGTGTACTTCTTTGGCCAAGGCTTCCCCCAGCAATTCTCCCCACATGGTCCACACCTAGGTGTCCCCTTCCTGGTTCTGCAGAAGCCCTGGCACTCAGCCCCTCTACCGCCTCCCTGGCCAGCCACCACCAAGGAAGCACAACGGATCTGGAGCAGACAGAACAGCCACCCACCCAACGTCTTCATCATTTCTACTCTTCCTTATCACCAGAACCCCAATTATCACCCATGGGTACTGTATGCAGCTAGACTATTCTCTACTTCCCAGCTTCCAGTAGTTTGCGTGACCTAGCTCCAGTGAAGAGCCAGGTATGTCTTTGGGGTGGAAGTCTTTTCTGGAACCAAAGAAGCACAACCTCTCTGTGACACATGTTTTGAGCTTTTCCTTTCTTCCTACCCAAAATCCCTGCATTTTCCCATTTCATTCTCACATTAGGCTCCAGCAGAAATTATTTCTCTTGATCACGTGTGCATGCAGAGTAGGGATCAAACCCAGGGCCTTGCACATGCCAGAACAGGCTCTGCCACTGAATGTGTCCCTTTTCTTTTTTTTGTTAGTCACGGGGCTTGAACTCAGACCCTGGGCCCTGTCTCTGAGCTCTTTTGCTCAAGGCTAGAGCTCTACCACTTGAGCCACAGTGCCTCTTCCAGTTTTCTGGTGGTTGGAGAGAAGTTCACAGACTTTCCTGCCCCAGCTGGCTTTGAACCGAGATCTTCAGATCTCAGTCTCCTGAGTAGCTAGGATTACAGGCATGAGCCACCAGAATCTGGTAATTCTGTCCCTTTTATAGATGAGCAAACTGGGGCTCAGAAACACAAGCTGACTTGTTCATGATTGAAGGGCTCACATATCTCCTCATGAAAAATCAAAGTGTGGTTCACAATATTGAGATGTTTGGCTTAAAGTTCCTTTTTGATGAGTTGGAGGTATAGCTCGTGTGATAGAATAGCTAAAATTCCCTTTTTGGCCAGACTGCTAGCTAGCAAGTTCAGAGCTGCATGTAAAAGCTCAATAGGGGCAAGGATTAATTAACTTTCGACACAGGTGCATTGCTTGTTATAAAAAGCTTAACGATTAGAATCCTATCAGGTACTGACAGGTGGCTCCCACCTGTAATCCCAGATACTCAGGTGGCTGAAATCTGGGTTTCAGGATTTGAAGATAGCCAGGGCAAAAACTCCTAGCATTCTACCACCTAAGTCATAGCTCTACTTCTTTTGTTGTTGTTTTTGGTATTTACTTGGAGATAACAATCTCACAGTTTCCTGCCCTGCTGACTTCCAACCTTGAGTTATTTAGTGGAGATAAGTCTCCCCAACTTTCGCTGGTTTCCCACAGTGATCCTCATACCTCACCCTCTTGAGTAGCTAGAATTTCAGGCAAGAGCCACAGATGCTGGGCTTAGAATCTTTTCTTGTAAGCTCCCTTCTATCCTCTTTTGGAAGGGTTGGGGTGTTAGTGTATGTTTTTCTCTCTAGAGCTCCCCCCACGAAGTTGGCCAGCCAAGACAATAGAAGCAGGCTGTTCTGGTTCCTGCCTGGGTTTGGCCACCAAGGAGCACTGGTAGGAAGGAATGAGGTCACAGTCTCCCCTTCTCAGAGAGCCCCCACCCCCTTCCTGCCTCAGGCTCCACTGAGGCCACTATAATGAACCCAGAGTACTGTCCTCTTGTCTTACTGTTTACCACACTCCCCACATGTTTGTAAATTGTCCCTTTACCAAATTCTCCTCCAATTACACAATTTGAGTGTGTCCTGCCAAGGCCCCAAAGATGATGTGCAGATATAGTGATGTGATCTGTGAACAATTCTCTCTTTCTCTGTCTCCCAGATCCCATCAGCAGTTCCTGCCCAGATGGCTCCACCACCTTCTAATCGTGTTCCCTGCCTCTGTCCCCAGCCCTGCATCATCCTCCCTGCCTCTACTCCAGCCCTGGAACCCCTTCCCACTGCTGACCCTCCACCAAGGAGGTCTACACTCCAGAAAGCAGGTGTGTGAGCTCAGAGCCAGTGGCTCACGCCTGTAATCCTAGTTACTCAGGAGGCTGAGATTTAAGGATGGTAGCTCAAAGCCAGCCCAGGCAGGAAAGACTCAAAAATAAAGTTAAGCTCCAGTTGACCAGCAAAAAGCTGGAAGGGTGCTGTGGCTCAAGAAATGGGAGATACCCTGGAGTGAAACAGTTAAGGGACATCATCCAGGCCCTGAATTCAAGCTTCAGTACCCCTTCTAAAAAGCAGCTTTGCAGGTACGGATGAGCTCAAAAAGGACTGGGAGGCAAGAAACGGTGCTTGATGGAGAACCTTTTTTTCCCACTGGGAACCATTTGGATTATTACATCATCCATAGGCCACACAAAGTGGTCAATACAGGCAGATGGGGCGCAGGCAGCTCTGACGAGAAACATGCGTGTGTGTCCTGTCATGTGCCAAATGATTTCATGGGCCTTATCCAGTGTGACCAACCCCTGGAGGGTGCTAGCCTTGCCCAGAAGCAGCAGCAGGACACACAGAGAGGAGGGACATAGGGGGGGGGGGATGTGCAGACCAACAAGAGGCCAGAATGCCAAGCAGGAGGATTAAGTTCAACTAATGGCCATCATTTGCATATTATGGCTGGCAGAGCAGACTGAGAGGCAGAGAGACCAGGATGGAGCCGATCAGATGGAGAGAAGAACGAAAGGCCTGCTGCTGCTCTGTAGGGCCCACTCACTCCAGTCACCTCTTCTTCCATCTGAGCTTCTGCCTTACCGGTGCAGAGTATAGGATTCAATCAACCTCAGTGCCTCAGCTTCTGCCTTTCCCCCAAATCCCCTCTTCCTATCTTCCCCACACAGGAGGCAGCCATCAGTATGCGCAGGGTGCAGCCCAGGGGAGGCCCCAGGCTGCTTGGGGAAATCCACCCCCCCCTTCCCTCCCATGCCACACTCTTCTGTCAGATGTGTGTATGTTATTTTTATTTCCTTGCTTTGGTCTATACAAAAACAAACAAACAAACAAAACCACCCCAAAACATAAAGCGATAATAATAAAACTCCACGGGGGTCCCCGCCCCGCCCCCATCTCTATGTGCAAGGGGCGGTGCCGGGGTCTGAAATAGGAAGGAGAAGAGAAAGCCCCTCACCACGCACCAGAGGGGTCAACAAGAGCACTTCTGTGGGTCAGCTGGGGCAGTGGGGGCAAGGGCGGGAGGAAGCTGTTCCCCGTGCTCCCCCAGGCAGGGCCCAAGTCAACTGAGCATCCTAGAGAGAGGAAGTGCATCCTGGAGAGCAGGTACTCGCTCTCCAGCCTGTCCCTTCCTGGGAAAGGCTCCTGAATTTCTCCAGGAAAACTTTGGACATTACAACTTTCATCCTTGAACCTGCACCCTGGAGACCATAAGGGGCTCAGGGTAGTTGGTTGATGGGAGTTGAGCGAGAGACATCAGATCTGAAGAAGGACCTGGGGGCCCAGGGTGGCTGGAGATAGACTGGAGGTGGGGACGGGGCACAAGTGGGCGGCTGAGTATAAAGCTTTAGTGGCTAGGGCCGTGGGAGCAGGGAGGGGGTGTTGAGACCTGGACCTATGGCCCAGGACAGAAAAGCAGGGGCAGAACACCATCCCAAGAAAACCTGCGGAGGACCCCTGGAGGCATGGGCCTCGGCATAAAGTTGCAGCCTGGTTTCCCTGGCTCAGGCACTTTTCTGTCTTGTCCCATCGCCTGTGTGAGACCCTCTCAAGTGAGGAACCACACCTGTGGGAGGGAAAGAGAGAGAGCAGACACAGATCAGGAGCTCAGCAGACCAGATCACCTAGAATTAGCTCAGGCTATTCCCATGACACCCCCACACTACCCCAAAAAGGCTGGTGTCCTTCCCTAAAAAGGATCCAGGAGGTGGCTGGGAATGTGGCTTAGTGGTAGGGTGCTTGCCTAGTATGCATGAAGCCCTGGGTTCGATTCCTCAGTACCACATAAACAAAACAAGCAGGGAGTGGCACTGTGGCTCAAGTGGTAGAGTGCTAGCCTTGAGCAAAAGAAGCTCAGGGACAGTGCCCAGGCCCTGAGTTCAAACCCTAGGACTGGCAAAAAAAAAAAAAAAATGGCTCCAGGAGTTGGATATGGTGGCTCATGCCTATAATCCTAGCTACTTGGGAAGCAGCGATTCGAGGCTCTTAGTTCAAGACCATTCCAGGCATAAAAGTTTATGAGACACCCATCTCAACCAATGGCTGGGCATGGTTGGAGTATACCTATTACCCCAACTACAGGGGAGGTACAATGGTTGAGTGCAGTGGTGTGTGCCAGTCATACTAGGAAGCATAAGTAGGAACATCGAAGCCCAGGCTCTCCTGGGTATAAAGGGAGAGCTGAACCAAGGCAGAAAGAGGTCAGAGGTGTGGCTCAAATGCTAAGAGTGCCTGTGTGAGTTCAATCCTCACTACTACCAGAAAGAAAGATGAAAGGAGAAAGAGAGAGAGAGGAGAGAGAGAGAGAATAGACAGACAGGCAGACAGATAGACAGACAGATTCAGGAGCAGCATGACTTCTGTTCTGCTGTCTGCAGAGGTACAGGAATGAAGTGAACCACAGCACGCTTCGCTGGGGGAAGATGAACAACAAAGGGCTCCCACACTTCTTTCCCCTCACGAAAGGAGCCAGGGTTTCAGCAGAGAACTGTGCGGCCTCCCATCAGGAGAAGGCCGGCATTAAGAGAAGTGGGTTTTCTCACGCTGCAGGGAAGGGAAGGCTGGGGGCGGGGCAGTGCCGTACTGGGGCAGAGCATCTAGGCCAGCATGTGGTCTGCGGTGGGGTAGGGAGGCCTGAGGCCTTCGCTGTAGGTGTCCATGGGGTAGTCGCCATCCATGTCCAAGTGCATGTCCAGTGGGTCGAGGGGCACATCGCTTGAGTACATGGGACGGTAGGTGGCATCCATGTCTGGGGATGAGAATCAGAGCTCATCAAGCGGCCCCCAGTTACTTCCTCTACCCTTGCCCGCTAAGGGTCCAATCCTCCCCAAACTCCCACATCAGGATGTCTAGATGGGCCTACAGGCAACCATATAGTAGCTTACCATCTGCATAGGGTTCATTGATGGGGATCATGCTCTGGGCCTGAGAAAGGAAAGAGAGATATTGAGAGAGGTTTGAAAATGCACAATGTACAGCCAAGTGTGGTAGTGCATGCCTATAATCCCAGTTCCACCAGATGTAGAGATGGGAATATTATGGCTTGAGATCAGCATGAGCAGAAGTTGATAACACATTATCTCAAAAAATGAGCCAGAAGTCAGGTACTGGTAGCTCATACCTGTAATCCTAGTTACTCAGGAGGCTGAGATCTGAGGATCAATTTGAAGTCGGCCTGAGCAGGAAAGTCTGTGAGACTTTTTTTGTTGTTTGTTTGTTTTTTTGGGTCCGGTCATGGAGCCTGAACTCTGGGCCTGGGTGCTGTCCCTCAGCTCTTCAGCTCAAGGCTAGCACTCTACCACTTGAGCCACAGCACCACTTCTGGCTTTTTTCTTTTTGCTTATGGTGGTGTGAGGAATCGAACCCAGGGCCTCTGGCATGCAAGGCATGCGCTCTCCCACTGAGCCACCTTCCCAGCCCCTGTGAGACTTTTTTTGTTGTTATTGGTCATGGGGTTTGAACTCTGGGGCCTGGGTAAGTGCTCTACCACTTGAACCACAGTGCCAATTCTGGGTTTCTGGTGGTTAATTGGAGAGAAGAGTCTCATGGACTTTCCTGCCCAGGCTGACTTTGAACCGCAATCCTCAGATCTCAGCTTCCTGAGTAGTTAGGATTACAGGCGTGAGCCACCAGCACCCCACCTGTGGGACTTATCTCCAATTAACCACCAGAAAACCAGAAGTGGAGCGATGTCTCAAAGTGGTAGAGTACTAGCCTTGAGGAAAAAGAGCTGAAGGACAGTGTCCAGGCCCCAAGTTCAAGTACTACAACCACCACCACCACCAATAACAAAAATAGCCAAGTAAAATGATTCACAACTGTAATCCCATTTAAATAGGAAGAGGAAACTCAGGCAAAGTTATGAGAAACTATCTGAAAAACAATCAGGTGAGGGCTGGGATGTAGCTCAGTGGTAAACCACTTGCCTAGCAAGTACAATGTCCTGAGTTTGATCCCCAGTACCAAAAAAGAAAAGACAAAAAACAAACAAAAAAACAAACAACCAGATGCAGCCCAGCTTATACCATACCTTTGTTTCTATTAGGAAAAGGCAACCCTTGGCTGGGAATGTGGCCTGGTGGTAGAGCTCTGCCTAGCACACATGAGGTTCTAGATTCATTACTAGCATACACACTCCACATCAAAAAAGGGGAAACCACACAAAAAGTTACCTTCTCTTTTCAAGCAAATTGCTACTTTTGAAGGACAAAAACAGATGGATGGCCAAGCTCCAGGAGGCTGAGGTTTGAAGCCAGCAAAGGGCAGGAAAGTCTGTGAGACTCTTATCTCCAATTAGCCACCAAAAAGCAGAAGTGGAGATGTAGTTCAAATGGTAGAGTGCCAGCCTTGACCAAAAAAGCTAAGGCACAGTGGCCAGGTCTTGAATTCAAGTCCCAGTACTTGTGTGCACACCTGTGCACGCACACACACATGCATGCACGCACACACACACACATGTCATAAATGAATCAATCATAAAGTAAAAATCTGCCAGATACCACTGACTCATGGTTCTAATCCTAGCTATTCAAGAGGCTGAGATCTGAGGATCCAGGTTTGAAGCCAGCAGAAAAGTCTATAAGATTCTTTTCTCCAATAAGTTAACAAACACAACAAAAAAAGGAGTGTAAAGCCGTGAGCTCAAGTCTAAGTATTGGCAGTAGCAATCTGTAACGCTAAGCTGCCATTCAACCCAGATACTCACAGCCTCCCAGGCAGCTGGGTCATGCTTGAAGAGGGAGTTGGTGAGTTCCACAGACACACGCTTCCGGTAATCCGGGTTCTTGTCCTCCGAGATGCGGAACAGGACCGCAGCAGCATAGGTGGCTGATCGAGAGGGAAGGTCAGTGTGAAGTAAGACACTGAGGCTGGGGGAACAAGGCCAGCCTCACCCTTCTCCCCCTGGTCCCCAGCATGGCCCCTCACCAGTGCCTTCATTGCGGGAGTGCAGCAGCTCCATGAGAGGGGCTGAGGCCCCCTCAGCATCGATGGCATCAGCAGCCTCCTTGTCCTGGGCCAGCTCACACAGCACCCCGGCAGCCACACGCTGGATGTTCTCCACTGATGAGTACAGAAGCTGGGAGACAAACAAGCGTGGGACAGGAGGGGTGAGGCAGGAGGGGTGCGGCAGGCCAGGCAGGACACCATAGCTCCTCGCACCCCTGTCACGAGTCTAACCCTCCTAATTCCAGGAGATGTGAGAAGCCAGGGAAGCATAAAGACACAAACATCTGACCAACTATAATTCCCCACCCAGATATGGCCTCCACATTTTTTTAAATCACGCTCCAATTATTATATATATCTATATAATTTTGACTCTTGCTTTTTTTAATCTGTTATGATAGAATGAAGCAGTTTGCTGTATATTATTTTAAAACTCATCCTGGAAAAAATAAATCCAAGTACCTCCTGATAAAAACAGATGACAAGGGCTGGGAAGGTGGCTTAGTGGTAGAGTGCTTGCCTAGCATGCATGAAGCCCTGGGTTCAATTCCTCAATACCACATACACAGAAAAAGCCGGAAGTGGTACTATGGCTCAAGTGATAGAGTGTTAGCCTTAAGCAAAAGACTCTCAGGGACAGTGCCCAGGCCCAGAGTTCAAGCCCCAAGACTGGCAAAAAAAATAAAAAAAGGATACCCAAAGCCCAAAGTAACACCAAGAAAACTAAAACACTCAATTGATCACCATTAAGTGTGATGGCAGTAATTCTTTACTCTGAAAATTAGTTATTAAAAGGAAACATTGTTAGCTGAGCACCAGTGGCTCACAGGAGTCATCCTAGCTGCTCAGGAAGCTGAGATCTGAGGATTGTGTTCAAAGCCAACCCAAGGAAGAAAGCCTATGTATGATATTCTTATCTCCAATTAACTACAAAAAAAGAAAAAGAAAAAAAAAAGCAGGAAGTGGAGCTGCTCAAGTGGTAGTGTGCTAAGCCTGAAGCAATATAGCTCAAGGACAGCATTCAGGTCCTGAGTGAGAAGCCCCAGGGCTGGCACAAAAGAAAAACAAATCTTTGTGCATATAGCTCTGTGCATATCTGAAATTATGTTAAATTATTTCCTAAGGAAAGAGTCTCAAACTTGAATTACTTGGACAAAGACTACAAGTGTTTCCAAAGCTCTCTAAACAGATCATAAAGATCACTTTCAGACTGTTCTTCCCACCAGCAGGGTAGGACACTGCTGGTTTCATTTAAAGCTTCAATCATCTTCCTTGGCCAATTAAACAGTAGGAAAGTGGACTCTTGCTGGGGTGGAGGAGTGGAGGGGAGATGGTTAAGTTTAATTTCTTTAAACTACTGGGGCTGAGCACTGTTTATGAGCCACCTCAGACTCATTTGTTGCCTCTGCCCACATCTTACTACTGGGATCTAATATTAAGAGTTTTTGAGGGCTGGGAAGGTGGCTCAGTTTAGAGTGCTTGCATTGCATGCATGAGGCCCTGGGTTTGATTCCTCAGCACCACATAAGCAGAAAAAGCCAGAAGTGATACTGTGGCTCAAGTGGTAGAGCACTCGCCTTGCGCTGAAGAGCTGAGGGACAGCGCCCAGGCCCAGAGCTCAGGCCCCATGACCGGCCAAAAAAAACAAAAAACAAAAAAAAACTTTTTTGAACTCCTGACTTGTACATACTTTCTGAGTTTGCCATTTAATTTTTTATGCTTTTTAGGTTGTTTTGGATACAGAGACAGTTTCAGTCTCCATGTGACTGTACCTCAAGATTGTTCTTTTGTTTTTGTTTTTTGTTTGTCAGTTGTGGGGCTGAGTTCTCAGGGTCTGAGAGCTGTCTCTGAGCCTCTTTGTGCTCAAGACTAGTGCTCTATCACTTGAGCCACAGCACCACTTCTGGTTTTGAGTGATTAATTGGAGATAAGTCTCGTGGGGACTTTTCCTGCCCAGTTTGGCTTCAAACACAATCCTTAGATCTTAGCCTCCTGAGTAGCTAGGATTACAGATATGAGCTACTGGCATATGCCTTCTTTTGTTGTTTGTTTTTTGTTTTTTGCTAGTTCTGGGGCTTGAATTCAAGGCCTGGGTGCCATCCCTGAGCTTCTTTTGCTCAAGGCTAACACTCTACTCCTTGAGCCACAGCACCACTTCCAGCTTTTTCTGAGTATTTCATAGAGATTTTTCTGCCTGAGCTGGCTTTAAACTGCAATCCTCAGATCTTAGCCTCCTGGTTAGCTAGGATTACAGGCATGAGACACCAGCGCCCAGCTTCATTCGTTTTTACTTGTGATCTCCCTTGTTTCTGAGCTTGGAAAGCCATCCTGCTCATTGCTCACACAGCTTCTGGTCTTGTCCTTTGGGTGGTAGCTAGGGGAACCTCTCTTGCCCAGGACTGCCCAAGTAAGTACCTGCACAAACAGAGGGATGGTGTTGAGCCGGAAGATCTCCATGCGGTTCATGGGATCCCGGGCAAGAATGTGAAGGGCTCCGGTACAACCTTCTACAATCTCCTCCATCCTCACGCCATCCTGCAGAAGAAGAGATGGGAGACATGGGCCCTTGAACAAGGGCCACAACCCCTCACCCACCACAACAAACTTCACTGATCCTTCACTCACTGTGTAGGGCTGCTGAGTGCCTGCAGCCACATGGCGCTGGGCATCCTGGTGGGCCTTGACCAGCAACTGGACAAGGCGGGGAATGACAGCTGCCTCCTGCAGTGGAGCATGGTTGGCTGGGCACAGAGCCAGATTCCGGATCAGGCCAATGGTTGCCTGGAAAGAAAAGGGGTGGTGATCAGAGGCATTCCTTGTACATCTGGAGGATCCTAGCTTACAGCTACAGGTTTTCCTCCTTCCTCATGATCTCTTCTGTCCCCACAGGCTGGACACAGACACATTGGAAGATCTCCAGAGAATGAAACTACCCTCAGCCCATGGTGCTTCCTCCATAGCATCTGTGGGTCCCTTCACATCTAACATTAAAACCCCTGCTGATGCTCAATAGGAAATGTATTCATTACCTTACTCATGTAACTGTAACCCCTCTGTACACTATTTTTACAATAAAAAAATACAAAAAAGAGGGGGGCCCTGCTGATGGCTGGGAAGGGGGCTAGAGTGCTTGCCTCGCATGCATGAGGCCCTGGGTTCGATTCCTCAGCACCACCTAAACAGAAAAAAGCTGGAAGTGGGTGCTGTGGCTCAAGTGGTAGAGTGCCTAGCTGAAGAGCTGAGAGCGAGCACCCAGACCCAGAGTTCAAGCCCCACAACTGACCAAAAAAAAAAAAAAAAGCCCCTGCTGAAATAATACCTCATTCCAGAACATTTTAAGAACACCCTTTGTCTCCCTCCCCACATCTCTGTTAACCCACCCCACCAATACTAGGATCTTGCTGACTTTCCTTGAGAGTTCTCCAACTCTGATTATCAGCAAGTCTTCACTATAGTGGACCCCAGAGCCTCCAGCTTGGTGATATTTGTTCTGTAGCCAACCCCCAGGGCAGCTCCAGAACGAGGTCCCCACCCTAGGGCATTTGACTCACAGGAGCCACTCTGGCATCCCAGAGCCACTCAGAGTCTGGTAAGGCAAGTTATAATCCCATTAGCTGCTCTAAATGGGGGCAGGGATGAAAACATGTAATAAGAAAGAGGCAGACGGTGAATGTCACGTGCAGGTTAGTTATCATTTGTCACTAGCTTCTGGGTCAGGCTGAGAACACTGCCCCCATCTCAAACCAAGCAGCCATAAGGGAGTCATACATTGATTTCTTTTTTTTTTTCTCACTAGAGTTTTTCGTTTGTTTTCTTGTTGTTGCTGGGTTTGGGGTGTTTTTTTTTTTTTGTTATTTTTGTTGTTGCTATTTTTTACAATGTTAAGGATTAGACCTAGGACTTTGCACATGCTAAGCAAGTACTCTACTACTGAGCTCTATCACTAGATCTTGGCCAACTGAGAAAGATCTCATTATGTATCTAAGGCTAGCCTCAAATCTACAATCCTCCTGCCTCTGTCTCTGGGATTACAGGCATGAGCCACAATGCCCAACTGCTAAGTTTCTTCTGTTCAACATATATAATTTATTGTTCTTAACTGCACTGTTATACATTCTAAATTTCGCTGAGAAGGAGGCCCCATTCCTGACTCCCTATGGAAGGGACCAAGTATACCCCCCAATCCTCTCCTCTCTTTATTATTTTGGTAGCCCTCCCGAGTTTTATAGCAAGACAGGTGGCTATCCACCTAGCAATTTTATTTCCAAACCTCCTGGCATTTCAATGCAGTCAAATTACCAGGTGTTGGGGTATAAGCCCAAAGCTATCCTTTTGTTGTTGCTGTTGTTGTTTTGCTAGAACTCTGGGCCTTGGTACTGAGTTCTTGTTCAAGACTAGAATTCTACCACTTGAGCCACAGATCCACTTTAGGATTTTTGGTAGTTAATTAGAGATAAGAGTCTCATGGACTTTCCTGCCTGGGCTAGCTCTGAATCACAATTCTCAGATCAGAAGTGGGGCTATGGCTCAAATAGCAGAGCACTACTAACCTTGAGCACAAAAATCTTAGGGACAGTGCCCAAAGCCCTGAGTTCAAGCCCTAGGATCAGCATGCACACACATGCACACACACACACACACACACACACACACACACACAAGAGTCTGAGTCTCTGGAGCAGAGACAATGTCCCACAAGAGATATACCTTTACCAGAGTTGAGCCTCCATATTTGAGATCAGTGACAACTCTGCACAGAATGCTTCTCCCCCATCCCCAACCCCCCCATGCGCTGGCAATGGTGCTGCTGGTACCTTGACCAGTGGCCACTGGTTAGGCTGGTTGAGTAGCTTGACAATGGCTGGGATGCCATAGTTGAGGCGCACAGAGTTCTGGGCCATCTCAGCCTCGGGGTGGCGGCTGGTGAGGTGGCGGAGGGCACAGACAGCAGGCTCCGTGATGTCGTCCTTGTCACCGGCACGCAGGATGGCGTGGATGAGAGCCTCCACCCCGCTGTTCTGGGTCACCAGCGTCTTGTTCTTGCTGTTGTTGCAGGTCAGGTTGGACAGTGTTCCAGTGGCACAGGTGAGGACATTGACATCGTCCACACTCAGCTGGTTCACGAGGATCTTCAGCACACTCTCCAGGCCCTCCTAGAGGACAGGGGACAGGGGACAGGGGAGGGATGTGGTGTGGAGAGTGAGCAAGATGCCAGTTCCACATGCCCTGCTGGGTTAGTCCAAGGGGAGAGGCTGGCCAAAGGGCTCGGGCCTGCCTGTGTGTGCCTGGCTACATTCATTCCAAAACCAACCTGAGCAGCAAAGTCTGTGAGATTCTTTATCTTCCAGTTACCAGTGAAAAAAGGGGAAGTGGAGCTGTGGCTCAAGTGGTAGAACAACAGCGTTGAGCAAAAAAGGGAGAGCACGTAGGCCCTGAGTTCAGGCCCTCGCACCAGCACCAAAATAATAAATGAATAAAAATAAGGAAGTCTCTATTTTAGTTTATTTTACTTTTTTCCCCAGAGAGCCATATGGGCCTTTAGGGTGGGACAGGAAGACCTCAGGCTTTGTAGAGAGAGAATCCTAGGTCTGAATCCCAACTCTGAATAACTCCTGAGACCAGGAGTTATTCCTTCACCTTGGGAACCTCAGTTTCTTTCATCTCTACCTTCAGTCTGCTAGAGGGTTAAATGAGCTCATGTTCACAGCAAAATGCCCCAAGATCCAGGTCCAAAACTGTCAATCAAAAATTGTTAAAAATGTCAGCCATCTTTCTCTGCCCCTCCAGAATTCCTAATAGGGCTACAGCCTCTGGCTAAAAAGATGATGATCTTTTTTTCTTTTTCTTTTTTCTTTTTTGCCAGTCCTGGAGCTTGAACTCAGAGCCTGGGCACTGTCCTTGAACCTCTCTGTGCTCAATGCTAGTGTTCTACCACTTGTGCCACAGGTACTGAGGAATTGAACCCAGGGCTTCATGCATGCGAGGCAAGCACTCTACCACTAAACTCCATTCCCAGCCCAGATGATGATCTTTAGGATCTTTTTTCCTGCCTCAGACACAAAGGAGGAGGATTTAGGAGCCCCAAGTCCTACCCTAGTCCTCCCAGCGGCTGGAGTCTGGACAAGACTGATCACAGGGCGGAACCCTCCCTCACCTGCTTGGTGGCCACATCTGAGAGGTTGCGAAGAGTCCAGAGGCAGTTCTGCACAAGGCGGGGGCTGTTGCTTGTCAGATGCTTGCCCAGGGCTTGCATCCCACCTGGTGTAGAAGACAGGGGTTTTGTCAGTCACAGAAGAACCACAGCTGGCTGCGTCTGGTGGCGGGTGGAGGCCCCACCCACACTCACCAGCCTCCACGATGGCAGGCTTGTTGCTGGGACACACAGACAGCACCTTGAGCACTCGGCTGGTGGTCCAGAGCAGCTTCTCATAGCTGTAGTTACGCATGATCTGCACGAGTGCCTGCGGTCCTCCATTGGCCAGGATGATCAGCTGTGAGTGTACAACAGATAGGGGATGTGCAAGGAAGGAGTGGAGTATGATGGAGTTGTCTTTACTGAACTTCCACTAAACCCGAGTAAGTTTTGTGGTTCTTTTTTTTTAAATTGTCATTACCATGATTTGAACTCAGTGCCTTGTATTTGCATGGCTAGTGATCTACCACTTGAGCTGCACCTGCAGCCCAGTTTTGTTGTTGTTGTTTTGCTAGTTATTTTGGAGATGGAGTATCACACATATGTCTGCCTCGGTTGGCTTAGAACTATGATCTTCCAGATCTCAGCTTCCTGAGTAGCTAGGATGACAGGCACGAGCCCCCAGTGGCAGACCAGAATAGCTTTTGTCACACATGGTGGTACATGCCTGTGATCCCAGCAGTCAGGAAGCGGAAGCAGAAGGCTCACGAGTTAAAGACCAGCCTGGGCTATACAATGAAACTGCCTCAAAGAAACACTTTAATCCCACTGACGAACATTTTCTCCTACTTTGGGAAAAGTTGTGTGCGCAAAGATGTTTCTGACAGCATTTATAAAGGGAGGGAGAAAACTGGTAGCAATCCAAATACTGTTCTCAGCAGAAAATATTAGGGAGATGTTATCTACCATTAGAAGGGTGGTTTTGAGGACAGGATAGTAAAATAAAAATAATTTTAAAAAGATGTTAAAGACATCAGAAGCTGTTTTGAGAAGCCAGGCACTGAATGCTCATGTGTGTCTATGGCTCAGGAGGTAGGACCTAGAGGATTTCAGTTCAAAGCCAGCTGAGACAAAAGAAGTCTGAGTTAACCAGAAAAAAAGCCTTGTTGCAGGCATGGCTCAAATAGTAGAGCACCAGATGTGAGCAAGAGAGTGAAAGGCCCTCAATTCAAGTCCTGATACAGGCAAAATTAAGAAAAAATGGATATTAATTTTTTTCTTTTCTTATCTTCAAAGAAAGAATTCTGAATAATTCAGAAATAGGATAAAATGTGTACATCGCAGACTAGTGGTAACCTCAGGCCTTGGTGAGCGGAGACCCACCTTGCTTTCCTGATTTCCATAAGCCAGGAGCTGCAGACAGTCAGTGGTGATGGCCAGGAACTTGGGGTTGTTCTTGTTGAGCAGGGGCACCATCTTCTGCAGTCCGTCAGCCAGGCGCACCGCCATCTTAGCCCCCTCCTGGTAGAGCAGCAAGTTGTGCAGTGTGGTGATGGCGTAGAACAGGACTGATTCCACGGGGGAGCTGCAGGGTGGACAGGAGCCAGTGTGAGTCAGGTCCTGGGGCCTAGACTGACTGGAAAGGCTTTCTTCCCACTGTCCCCAGGAAGCCTGCCTGCCTTATACCCATACCCGTCCCAAGGAGAATATTCCTTTGCTAAAACAACAAAAGCAAAACCCTCCCAGTCCCTTGAGCCTGGCTCCACTCTTATACAGAGCGCATCCAGCATCTCCTCTCCCACTCCTCCTGCTTCTGAGCTCCCACCTGGGCTAATCACATAGTTGGTCCCTTGACTACGCTCCCTGCAGAGTTCACTACTATGTGGAGGGACATGAGCTAGGGGCCCTGCCAGAGCTTTGGGAGGGGCGGGAGAATGAAGTCAACATCTCACCCGAAGGAAGCTCCCAGCTTGGTGTGGGGAGAGAGCTAGGAGAAGTGTCACCATTCATACAGGATCAGGAAAGACAAAGGTCACAAGAGACCTCACATAGGCTTTTCTCTCTGCCTGGAATACTTTTCCCTGCATCTACCAAAGCCCAATTCCATTCAGCCATCAACCAGGAGCCATCAACCCCTTTTCACTCATTTTAGCAATTCAACCTTTTTAGGCTCTGCTGCCACAGCCTCCAATATACACACTCTGATAATTAGGCTGCTGTTTAGCTGCCTGCCTCCCTAGCTAGGCTGTGAGCAGCCGAGCAGCAGGATGGGTGTGGCCCTGCAGCCAGCCCATGGCAAGTGTTTAATGTGTTTATGGAAGCCCAGGAAGAATGTGAGAACCCACATAAAGGGAGCCTGGGCTGGCTGCTGCAGTGAGTAGGGGTGAGTACCTGAGCATGCGGACCAGGGCAGGGATGCCTCCAGACTTGAAGATGGCAAGAAGCCCCTCGCGGTGGTGGGAGAGGTTGTGTAGGATGCTGGTGGTACAGCGAGCTGTGTCCAGGTCACTGGTGTTCTGCATGGTGCGCACCACGGCCGCCACCAGCTGGGGCGAGCCCATCAGCGCCCGCCGCGATGCCTCCTTCTTTGATAACTGGTTCACGATCATGGCTGCCTTGGTCACCACCACCTGGAGGATGGGGAGGTAAGCAGATGGATGAGGCCCTGCTGCCACTGAGAGAAGGGAGAGACTATCCTGCTACAAAGCCAAGACAGAGCTGGGAGCTGGTGGCTCACACCCATCATCCTGGCTACTCAGGAAACTGACATCTAAGGATCCCAGTTCAAAGCCAGCTCAGGCAGAAGAATCCATAAGACTTTTTTTTTTTTCCCCAGTTGTGAGGTTTGAACTCTGACTGGGCACTGTCCCTCAGCTCAAGGCTAGCACTTTATCATTTTCAGCCACAGCACCACTTCCAGTTTTTGAGTGGTTAATTAGAGATGTGACTCTTATGGGGATTTTTCTGCCCAGGCTGGCTTCGCACCGCGATTCTCAGATCTCAGCCTTCTGAGTAGCTAAGATTATAGGTGTGAGCCACCAGTGCCAGCAACTGTTTAGTTTTGGGTTTTGTTTTTTTTCGGTTGGTCCTGGGGCTTGAACTCGTGGCCTGAACTCTGTTCTTGAGCTTGTATTTTGCTCAATACTAGTGCTTTATCACTTTGAGCCACAGCTCCACTTCCCTGTAAGACTCTTACCTCCAGTTAATCAAAAAATAAAAAAGCTGGGCTGGGAAGGTGGCTCAGTAGTAGAATGCTTGCCTAGCATGCATGAGGCCCTGGGTCCGATTCCTCAGCACCACATAAACAAAAAAAGCCGGAAGTGGCACTATGGCTTAAGTGGTAGAGCGCTAGCCTTGAGCTGAAGAGCTCAGGGACAGCACTCAGGCCCAGAGTTCAAAACCCACTACTGACAAAAAATAAAATAAAACAAATAAAATAAAAAAGCCAGAAGTGGAGGTGTTGCTCAAGTAGTAGAGCACCAGTGTTGAACAAAAAAGCCAAGAGACCTTGAGTTTAAGCCCCAGGATACACACACACACACACACACACACACACACAGAGCCCCAGGATACACACACACACACACACACACACACACACACACACACAGCCCAGGCAAGCCATAAACCTTATCCCCTAGGGTCATGCTCCTCTCCACCCTGCCCCCACCCCACCAGGCCTCTCACTGACCGGATCCTCATCATTGAGCAGTTTGGTGAGCTCGGGCAAGGCCCTGGTTGCTAGTTCAGCATCATCCTGGTAGTTGATAAGATGTACAATGGCTGACTTGAGCAGCTGGGACGGCTCAGCCAGTCGCTGCAGATTGGTGGCCTGTCCATCAATCTGGGTGGCCAGCAGCAGCGAGCTGTCCTCACTTGTCACACCAGGGCACATGGCCTCCCGCACCCGCTTGGCTCTGGCTGTTGTGGACATCTGGTACTCCAGGTCACCTAGGGGCCAATAAAACAGGGACTGAGCTGAAGGAGGATGCAGGGGGAACTCAGAGAGCAGGGCAGGCTATACAGACAGGCCTGGGACTGCCTCATACCTGGATCAAAGCCCCAAACCACAGTTCTGTATATCCCTGGGATCTGGGAAGGGGAGGGCCATAAGATCTTTGTCTCCACTACGGTAAAATGGAGCCTACCTGTTCTGTCAGCACAAAGAATATCTTCTGACAATAAAATAAGATCATAGCTGTGACTTGCTCTGAAAAAGGCACAGGTGCCTCACACCTATCACTGCAAGAATGTTAGTAATAATTATTATTAATAAGAGTAGCTAGCCAGGTGCAGGTGACTCATGCCTGTAACCCCTATAGGTACTCAGGAGGCTGAGATCCAGAAGATCGTGGTTCAAAGTCAGCCCAGAGAAGTCCACAAGACCCTATCTTCAAAATAACTAGCAAAAAAAAAGCAGAACTGGAAGCATAGCTCAAATGGTAGAAAGCCAATCTAGTAAGCCCAAGACCCTGAGTTCAAATCCCAGTGATGCCTAATAAATAATGCTAATATTTTTGAGTACTTATGATATGCCTAGCAATGAATTAAGTGCTTTTCTTTTCTCATTTAATCTTACCACAACCCCACAAGGCAAGTACATTATTATATCCATTGTACAGATAGGAAAGCAGAGGTCATAAGGCCAACAGATGAACTCAGGAGCCCAGAGCTTTCTTCTCTGTTAACCATCAGGAAAGAAGTAGGATTTGCAATCCTGAGATCTCATTGCTCTAATTATACTCTCACCATCCTCTGAAGTAGCAACCCTCCCACTGCACAGACAGGTAGATAGAGGTCCACAGAGCTTCCCAGGCTCACACAGCATATCGGAGTCAGGACCATGAGTTTCAGAAAGTAGGAGCTGGGTCTTCACTAGAGACTCCAGGTTCTGACCCCTGGGTCAGCCTGGAGGCCTCACATATGGGCCTCCCAATATCCTGTTCTGATGTCTCCAGGGAGAGGGAGGCAGAAGGTCACCCTCTAATTATCTAGGAAGGAGACAGCTACTTGGCTTTCTCATCTAGATGCTAGACTTTAGCTCCCAGTAGAGTGCCCAGTCTTACTAAGACAAGAGCTTCTGCCTAGGGCCAGGGAGGAGACACAGGACACCAAGACAGAGCTCTGTAGAGCCCTGGCCAGCCGCAGTCCACCCTGAGTGTTCCCCACGTCCCATAGCTCATCCAGCTGGAATGCCTGGGGCCCTGGAGGCAGAGATGGATGACAGTCCTGGGACCCAGGTACCCCTTGTAAGGTGCCCCTTCCCATAAAATGAAGCCCAGAACTGACTCAGCCACTCCACGCCCTGCTCTTAGCCTGTCTGTCTGTCAGCATGTGCTAGCCCAGTTTAGGCTAGCCCCATTCCATGAGACTGGGGCTCCTTGTCTCTCCCACCAGACATGAGGCTCCATAAGCAAAAGAGATGTTTTCCTAGAGTCTCTTGATGACAGGAGCGAAATCCTCCATCATACTCCTACGTTCTCAGAAGGAGGGTATTAGGACTGGTAGCAAGAACCATGTCTTCCTGCAAGCAAATGGTGTCTGCATCCCTCCCAGGTGGGGCTCCCTGAAGTAGCTATGCCTCCTCCCTCAGACTGGGCTGGTGTCTGTGAGCGTGAGCTGTGCCTTCTCCCTTAGACTACTTGGGTCCCTAAGAAAAGAAACTGTGCTTCTGTCCCCAAACTCCTAAAACTCTCTTCCCTTTGCCTTGCCCCCTCCAGGACCCAGCTGGGTTTTCCTCCCCCTGTTAAAGCTCAAAGGGTCCTGACCTTGGTTTTGGGGTGCCCCCTGAGTATAGGTGGTGGTCTTCTTGAGAGTGTACTGCCGCCCACAGGCCTCATCCTCCTCCATGACGCCCTTGCTGCTGACTGAGGGCACGCAGGTGTTGGCCCCTGAGTGGATGCCGGAGTCGTAGGTGTACGTCTGCTGCCACTCCGTCACCTTAATGGGCTGTTCGATCAGGTTCATCACCTCCATGGTGGCTGCTGGGGACACAAACAGACAGGACATTAGTTGGCAGAGGGACATCCCAACACAGGGGCCCCCTGCTAGCTCAGGCCCAGCCTTTCCCAAGGGCCTCAGGGGGGTCACAGAGGACAAGGGGAGGCCCAGGAAGGTACAGCCTAGGAGCAGAAGGGCTGCAGGAGGGCAGGACGCCCCAGAGCCCTCAGCTTGTAACTGACTTCCAGCCCAGAGTGTGGCGCAGTAGAGGGCCAGGTGTCCTCATCCAGCACCTGGCTCGCTCACCTGGTGCTTAAGACTCAATACTTCCAGGGCAAGAGAAGGCCCTCAGGGATCTCCAGTAGCTTCTGGGGCCCCACAGAACCACCCTCACCCTGCTGGGGCTCCCTGGGAAAGGCTGCGGAGGTGAGGCAGCAAGGCAACAGCACCCAGCCATTGGCTGGGAGACTGGGTGGGACAGGGAAGCCGTCAGACAGGTTTCTCTGGGCGCCCCAGGGCGCCTTCTGAGTTCCTGGATCTCACTTTCCATAGGCTAGGCAGGATCAGGGCCTAGGTTTCTCTTTCTCCCAGCTCCCCTGGGCCTCCAAGGCTTCCTGGCATTCTCAGTGGCCTCGTTTTCAATCTCAGTGGCTTACTCCCAGGCCAGTCCACCTCTGCTGTGCCTTAGCATCCTATCTGGAATTCTGGGTCTCTCATGGGTGGTTGTGAGGACTGTGCTTGCAGGGAACTCAACATGGTATGGGTACATAGTAGGTATCCAATGTTAGAGACCACATCGACTCACCTCCCCAGGGGAACCCAGGCTAGGGGGTATGGAGTGTGACAGGCCTTTAGGGATGTCACTATTATTCAGGACACCCTTACACACACACCAGCCTTCTCTGCATCTTTGGGCACCTGTAGATTAGTTATTGAGCATCTGGTCCCTTCTTTGAACTGATGGGGGTGGGGAGAGCTGGGGTCAGAGCGTCAAGGCAAGCTGAGAGGCCTAAGGCATGTGACAACTCTCACAAATATATCACCTTAAACCAGGCACCAGTGGTATACCTCACAACTGTGACCCTAGCTACTCAGGAGGCTGAGGTCTGAGGATTGTGGTTCAAAGCCAGCCCAGGCAGAAAAGTCTGTAGGACTCCTATTTCTAGGTAACCAGCAGATGATCAGAAGTAGAGGTTGTTGTTCAAGTGGTAGCGCACCAGCCTTGAGCAGAAAAGGCCAAGCAAGAGAGCAAGGCCTGGAGTTCACACACACACACACACACACACACACACACACAATGTGTCATCCTCACAAGCGGGCTTCCAAGCACAGTTCCTGTCTCTCCATTTATAAATGTGGGACTGAGGTTAGAAGCGCCAGAAACAGGCACAGGCATGCGTGGTGGGGAGGTCAGTATCCCAGTGGGATGAGCCTCAAGAGAGGAAGCTGAGCCATACAAGGGAAAGGCACTGGGCATCTCAAATCACTGATCCTGATATAATGGAGGAGCCGTGAGGATGAGGCACTTGGCCCCACCCAGGAACAAAGAGACCAGTCACAGAGGGGTGACAGCCCTAAGCACCACCCTCAAGAAACATGAAGGGAGGTGTGTGTGTGTGTGTGTGTGTGTGTGTGTCTGTGTGTGTGTGTGTGTGTGTGTGTGTCTGTGTGGTGTTGGTAGTACATGCCTGTATTCCCAGCTACTCTGGAGGATAAGGCATGATTGCAAGTTTGACACTGGCTTGGATGTCATAAAGAGACCTCATTTAAAAACAACAACCAGCCTGACCAACAATTCTCCAGGTCTCACTACCTTTTATGGCTGCACACAGCCCCTCCCTTGCTGTAAACACACCTGGAACAGGCAGAGGCAGGAGCCAGACCAGCTCTCAGCTGTCTTCTTTCCTCCCCTCCTGCCACCACGAGTGACTCAGAGTTTCGGGCTGATAAACAGAATCAGGCCCAGGACACCAGGAGGCAGGCTCAGTGCCACCAGGTGTGCACAGCTACTGCCCGGCATTTACCAAGTGAGGCACCCCCTCCCTCCCGCCCCACCTTCGCCAGGCCAAGGGCAGGAAACCAGGGAGCTTGGAGAAGGCAGCCTCAGGAAAATCCTGCTGGGCATTCCTCCTGACCAGGCCCCTCCCAATCCTCACCTCTGTGCCCCAAGGGTAGGACGCAAGAGAGATCTGGGGACTTTGGAAGGATCCAGGGCCACAGAAGCTGCTAGGGCCTGGGTTGGGGGAGGACTGGACCCCCAAACACTTGAGAAGGAGGTAAAGAAGCAGAGTCTCTCTCTCTCTCTCTCTCTCTCTTCTCTCTCTCTCTCTCTCTCTCTATCTCACACACACACACACATACACACACTGCCACTCTGCTATACAGAAAGCTAAGCCGACATCCGATGCTGAACCTTGGTCAGCTGGGCTCTGGATGAGCTGGACATCTCCAGCTCTGGTCAATCAAACACCCCAGCCTGAGCAGAAAAAGTGTCCCCTTCATAGAAACAGCCACCCAACCCTAGGACCAAGCCTGATGAGAAGGTGCTCACCCACAGCACAGGGGCCAGCCTTGTGGGAAAGGACCACCATGATCAGTATTAGCAGAATGACAGGAACTTCCTCCTCCCAAGCCCCACACCACCCCAGCTGCCCCAGCCTGGAGCCAAGGGAAGCTGACGGCTGGGCAGCTGCCTAGGCAAGGCAGAGGTCAAAGGATATCAGGGGGCAGGCATCTAGTTGCCTTTAATAATCCATGAATCTCAACCTTGGCAGGCAAAGTTGACATAATTATTCTGTTTCTTTCTCCTCTTTCTATTTACTTACTTTTTTTTTTTTTTTGCCAGTCGTGGGGCCTGAACTCTGGGCCTAGACTCTGTCCTTCAGCTCTTCAGCTCAAGGCTAGCACCCTACCACTTAAACCACAGCACCACTTCTGGCTTTTTCTGCTTATGTGGTGCTGAGGAATTGAACCCAGGGCCTCATGCATGCAAGGCAGGTACTCTACCATTGAGCCACCTTCCCAGCCCCATTACTCAGTTATTTGTGTATTTATTTTTGCCAGTACTGGAGCTTGAACTCAGGGCCTGGGTACTATCTTAGGCTTTTTGTTTGTGGCTGGTGCTCTACCACTTGAGCCACAATTCCACTTCTGGCTTTTTGATGGTTAATTGGAGATAAGAGTCTCACAGAAGCTGGGCACTGGTGGCTCATACCTGTAATCCTAACTACTCAGGAGGGTAAGATCTAAACATCACAGTTTGAAGTCAGCCCAGGCAAAAAAGTCTGTGAGACTCCAGAAATGGAGTTGTGGCTCAAGGGATACAGCACTAGCCTTGAGCACAAAAGCTAAGGGTCAGTGCTCAGGCCTAGAGTTCAAGCTCTAGGACCCTGTCTTGAAATAAAGCCTCATAGACTTTCCTGCCCAGACTGGCTTTGAATCTCCATCCTCAGATCTCAGCCTCCTGAGTGTTTAGGATTACAGGCCTGTGCTACTGGCACCCACCTTTATTGGGGGGTAGGAGGTACTGGGGTTTGAGCTAGGAGTCTTGAACTGGCTAGGCAAACATTCTTCCTATCCTCCATTCCTAAGCAGGGAAACTGAGCTTCCACCTTAAGGAAATGGTATAGTCCTGCTCAAATCCAGATTGGTCCCACCCTAGGAACAACATTTAGCCCACCAGTCAATACTCGGTAGTTGGGGTACAGGGCTTGCCTAGCAACCCATCTCAGAACAAAGATAGGTAGATAGATAGGTAGGTAGGTAGGTAGGTAGATAGGTAGATAGATAGATAGATAGATTAGCAAGGGAAGAGGGGTCTGATGTGATAGGGTGCCCACAGGTAGAGAAAGAAAATCAGGCTAGGTGGGTGCCAGTGGTTCATCCTTGTAATCCTAGCTACTCAGTAGGCTGAGATTTGAGGATCCTGGTTTGAAGCCAGCCCAGGCAAGAAAGTTATGAGACTCTTACCTCCTACAAATTACTCAGGAAAAAGCCAAAGGTGGTACTGTGGCTCGAGTGGCAGAGCATAACCTTGAGCAAAAGAAGCTCAGGGGCAGCAGCCCAGGCCCTGTGTTCAAAACCCAGGCCCAGCAAAAAAACAGACCAGGCTACACGTCAACTCTCTCAGGGTTGCATCTCATCTCTGCCTGGAGGCTCTTTGAGCAATTTCTTTCCCGGCTCTGGGCCTTATCTGGTGATTTCAAAGGAATATCTGATATCTCAGATTTTAGGACTAAGAGACCCAGGACCCAAAGACAGAGAAGGCAGAGTGAGGTCAGAGTTGGAAAGCAGTTCAGAGAGGAGATAAACATTAGAACTCTTCCAAAATAAAAATAAAAATGCTGGGTGCTGGTGGCTCAGGCCTGTAATCCTAGCTACTCGGGAGGTTGAAATCCATGAGACTACCACCAGAAGCAAAGGTAGAACACTAGCCTTGAGGGAAAGAGCTCAGGGACAGCGTCCAGGCCTTGAGTTCAAGCCCCACAACCGACAAAAAAAAAAAAAAAAGGAATCATGGGAATAACTATGCTGGAGGTGACAGGGAAACTACAAGTCCCACCACAGGCAGGACTGACAACCACCCCACCTTGCTCCCTACTACTTGTTAGGAGAACCTGGGAAATTCTCTCACAAGAGTCCAAAGTACAGGTTTGGCTATTCCCAGGGTGGAGGGGGGCCACACCCAGTTTGGTGTCATTGCTCTCCACCCTGGACCAGGAGCCAGACCTTCCACAATGTCCCTGGACAGAGCCAAGGTGGAAGCAAGACAGACAGCATTGGGGGCGGGGGGAAGGGGGCCCAAGAGGGAGACAGCAGAGACAGGGCGGGTTTCTGAGTTGAATGAAGAACTTTTGTTTAATAACACACTCTATTGTTGGTAGCAGGGGGAGGAAGAAGCCTGGGTGCTTGGGTGAAGGGGGGGTGGGGAGGGCAAGCCCAAGAACAGGAAAGAGAAGACAGAGTGTGTGATGAGCCCTTCCTCTGCCCTGTAGTGACTAGGTAAGACCATGTGAGCAATGAGGCTGCCAAGGGTGGACCCTTG